CTTCCGTATTTTTGCCGTCGCTGCACCCCAAAATAATGTTTATGAACGCGCTCTGCAAGGATATTCACTCGTCACCTTCGCTGGAAAAAAACACCTAGTTTGAAACTAAAGCACATCAAGGATTATCCACTGGTGCTATGGCGCCTTGGCCTGGCATGCATCATGTTGCCGTTTCCCAAGGGAACTTTCGCCGTGTCACAATGTTGGCATCGGTCCTGTGGTTGCATCTGCTTTTTAATGAGCTCCTCGTAATGCCTGAAGTGGCGCAACACGCAGGCGGAGTCGATCATCGCCATTATATAGAATATTTTGTGTTCCGGAACTTTTATCCTGTCGCTACCTTTTGAACTGTCGTTATCGCAGTTACCAAACGGCTGACCTGGTTGGATATAGGCATTACTGCAAATTTGGAAGAATTGAGGAAAGTATGAAGAAGAAGAGAACAGTTGAGGCAGCAGTTGTTCATGCATTTTACTAAGTCCAGCTTCTACATTACTGACTGGCTGTAATTGCACGCACCCGTATAGTGGCACAATTAAGCCCTGTGCGGCTTGCGCAGAGGCGAGAACAAAATCGAGTCGCTCAAAAGGCTTGCCGAAACAAAGAAAAGGAGCACATAGAAAGGCTGAAGCAAGAAATTGCAACCCTGCGACATGAAGACCAAAATTTGCAACTGATTCGCCAACTTGCCTTGAAGAACGCAGCCCTGGAGGCAGAGATACTGCGAACTCGACAATTAATCAGTTGTAAAATTGGTAATCCATCCGTTTTTTCAAATCAAGAAACTGTACGTATTGAAGAGGGGACAGTTCAGGCTGTCCCGGTTGATGTCGGTTGTTGGGATCTCAATCATCCCATGGCAATATTTGTCTCTTCAACGATTGTGCACAAAATCAATACCCTAATGGTAGCCGAGGCCATGTTGCGAGACCGGCAACTTGGCATAGGTAAAGAGACACAAAGCAGAAACTGAGAGTTTGGAGGTGGCACGATATGAAGTTTATAGTCAAGTAAGCTCTGTTAACAATTCCATTATTGTTCTGTCGTCTCCTCCGTTACGCAGTGGAACCTCGCTTTTGTGATACTGTTGCCGCCTGCCACTCGGATGATGAAAGCGCTTGTGTGCTTCATCCGATAGAGGTTGCTTTATCCGAGAAGTGAAGTTGGGATCTCAATCATCCCATGGCAATATTTGTCTCTTCAACGATTGTGCACAAAATCAATACCCTAATGGTAGCCGAGGCCATGTTGCGAGACCGGCAACTTGGCATAGGTAAAGAGACACAAAGCAGAAACTGAGAGTTTGGAGGTGGCACGATATGAAGTTTATAGTCAAGTAAGCTCTGTTAACAATTCCATTATTGTTCTGTCGTCTCCTCCGTTACGCAGTGGAACCTCGCTTTTGTGATACTGTTGCCGCCTGCCACTCGGATGATGAAAGCGCTTGTGTGCTTCATCCGATAGAGGTTGCTTTATCCGAGAAGTGAAAGTCGAAGAACAAGCGTCTCAGTCTCCCGAGGACGGAAATCACTGTCAGATGAATCAGAATGGGAGCCGAGTTTGAAGGCACTGCAAGGAACAAGCCTGTTTTCAAGCTGGGCAAGATGCAATTGACTACTGCAAACCCCCCCTGGTAGAAACATCTAAAAACGAAGCCAAGGAAGCCGTGTGGCGAGAAACATCTAAGAACGAAGCTAAGGAAGCCGTGTGGCGAGAAACACTGTCAGTCACGCACACGACGTTCTATCACCAATCTGACCTGAACAAGCAGGCGGGCAAGAGAAAGTTGACATTGCAGAAGACAAGATAAAAATTGAAATACCTCGTTTATGCAGTATAAGGAACACTGCCTATCTGATGAACCTTAAACAGCATCGCGTGCAGGGTCCAGCCTGCGGCTTCCATAAATAGCGTGCCTTGGCGGCATCTCTAGCTTACAGAATCAACGCATTCTTTTCATCCGTGTTTCTCTGTGACGTTCAATAACTGGGAACTCAGGCAATATCCATGAGCGATGGGCAAGATCGATATATGGTCGATACTAATTTGGTTACCCCGAGGGGTGCGTCTTACTGTCTGGCACATTTATAACAAAGGCTCGACTGTTACGGGCGGTGGGATAATACAAAACATCAAGTCCGAAGTAGCGAATGCCCCTTTAATGACGGCAGCCTTTTCGAACAAGAATTTTCGTAACGGTAGTACGGGAGGATGTGTTTCACGGTGAGGCTGTGCACGGAATGGCGGTTGGTTGAACAGGGGAGGTGGCAACAACGTTGCATTAATTTCCAGAAGTTTGTAGGACGGAGTTTACCGATGCTGCATTTTCTTGACCCTTCGTCTTACATACTTCGCCTCTCTGCTCACATCTTTACTAAGTGACTCCAACATTGTGACAAAAGCCTGGCGACAACCCGCTCCACCAATAAGAAGAACAAGGGAAAAAGAGGTCGCGGGGTATTTGCCACAAATAGAGACCGAGGTGAGTCACTTTGATCAACTATTTACTAACGTCTGTTGTTGCCACTGTGTCTCATATGGCACGTATTGCCCATCTTACGGTGCATCGGATCATGTTACAAGGTACTCAGTTGTCAAAAACAAGTTGTTCATTTGCTAATATCGACTTGGGCCAGTTTTTGGTTTATTCCGCATTACCTCGAACGGTAACACATAAAATTTGAGGCAATGGACTCCTGCCAAGCGAAAAAGCACAGCCAGTTGTGCCCTACATGGCATGGCCACATTTCGTCGACGATGGATATTTTGATTCTTGTTGAAGCATACCTCCGGAACCATCTCAGCGGCGTCCCACGACGACCCGATGACATAGAGAAACGCGACCTAATCAAGAGTGGGAGTGTCTTTATTATTGATCAACATGATTCTGGTATCAAGAGGTGGACTGACGGTCGGTCATGGAGTCCGAGCCGCATTTTTGGAGATTTCCTACTCTACACTGAACTTGAGCGACCGTGGAAATCATCAATAAAGCCAATCAATGTCACAATTAGGGGGCTCTCTGGCAGAGAAACTTCACAAAGTCGTTGTGAAAAAAGTCTCTCGGAACCTCAAAAAAGAACCAGATCATTTCGTGGCACTGCGTTTTCCTCGTACTCTCTCAAGAGCGGTGGCCTTGTCAAGAAGACCATCACAATTTCGTACAACCACCGAAGTTATCATGTCATAAGTTACTACAGTGTTGATGACGCCTTTTTAGGCCGGCTCATGACCGTTAGCCAGGATCCAGCGCTTGCGGGTCTGTTGCCTCGCCTGGAGTTATTATTACCAAGACGCCTCCAGCCCGAAAGAGCTAGGGAAGCTAGAAGTCATCTATCTTCTGGGCGCAGTTCCCGAATGAATCGGCAACTCGAGGCTTCAGACGTCACAAATGTTCCACCTCTTGGTTCACTCCTCAACTTGCACAACTCGCAGCACTACGAATATGGCATGCATAATCTTGTTCGAGTTGGTCCGGAATCATCCCTATCGGCTCCGGCATCGTTGGAAAATCTGCGCATACGTTAACTCAGAATCCATGGAGGAATAATGATGGATCAAATTCTTAATCACCAGCAACCCTTCTTAAATTCAAAGAATGCATGCTATTTGATGGGCCACATGAAGCAATAATGTCAGTAATCCAGCTGTGCACGAAAAGCACCCGTGGAACAGGAGCTCACAGCTTACAAGAAGTTAATTCAACAAGGCAACTTTGCCTCATCTGTATTTTTTCCAAGGACATAAAAGTGCAATATGCAACACGTCGTTAGTGCCTGCCAGAAATGTCATGCAGGATCGATTGCCATCTTGTAATGCATCGAATCATTTGCCGCGATTTATAAAATTTGATGGAAAACACGTGCTTCATCTATATATCACACCAGGGAGAAATCCTTCTTCGACATGATGTTGGTTTTTCCACCTACGGATCTGACTGCCATTCTGCGACAGAGTGCCATAAGTCATAATCTAGAACTTATGCAAAGAAAAAAAGAAATTCCGGGCAGAGCTAGATTCCAGCCACTATGACTAACCTGATTGGCCACCACGACAACCTCACAGGGCACAACGACAAACCCCGCAGGGCACAGCGACAAACCTTACCGGCCACTACACGACCCCGTCGACCGTCTTGCTGTCCGTAATGACCTGTAAGATTTTTTGTATAAGATTCGTCCAGGAAGTTGGGTACCTATTTGTTGGAAGCGCAAAGCTTCTATTCGGGTGATAATTATCACGCTGGTGATCTTGATATTCTTGCTTGTGTTGAATTCATCTATCTCGAGGTAGCGCTCACCCAAATTGGTGATGTTTGTGATCTGTTTGAGATCAACCATGTGTGGCCAATTACATGCCAGCATTTGCTGCCTTACACGCCCACAGCGGCGCTGGCAGCAACACTATTCGACTGGAGATAATAGAAAACACTTCTTCCAGCTACACCTTAGGCAGGGGGGCGAGGAAGACAAGGGTACATCACACGATTACTTCCAAGATAGAACTCTTTCTGTGATTGTCTCGTCGTGAGACTTCTTGACAAATAAGCTTTTGTGCCCCAAGTTCATTATTTCTTGTCGCCCTTATTCTATAGTCCAGAAGGATCCGTATTATTTATCTTAGACTGAGAAGCTTTCCCAGCCAACTAATGAAATCAGGACGGCAAGCTGGCCTTCCAAACTTCTGATAATATCTAGCCATCATTTATTACATCCAGCAAGTACGTCAAGTCTGTTGATACAACAAGCAGGCTTGACTTAATTTCTGGATGTCATTAAATCGTTGATATCAGTACTTTGAGAGCTGACCAGCCAACTGATGAAACCAGGGTGGCTGGGAAGTCTTCTCAACTTAAGGTAAATTACATGGACCCTTCTGAACGATAGACAGCGGAAATGAACGAGAACAATGATTTTGTGACGAAAACGTTGTGAACAATGAGTCTCATAATGGCACAAGGAGACCACGTCGCTCGTGCAAGACAACAGCAATAGTTATACTTTGGCAGACAGTGGTATAACAACAAGTATGTGGCTTTCGTATCATTCCAAGATATATGTGGAAAATCAAGAATCTTGTCTAAGCTGTCCCAAACAATCGTGCTGTGCGACATGAGCAAACTTAGGCGGCATCATTTCTACTCTCAAATATCTATTCTCGAGCAGCTAACAGACCCAAGGCGAGACAAACGGTTTTACGGGAAAGACTGCGCCGTCGGCGTCGTCATTAGATCTTGATATCTGACTCTTGCTGAGTCCACTCCAAACGAGGCCGCCCAGTTTGCAACACAATCTGGCCAGCCAGTGGAGAGCGCAGCAACGTCACACTCCACACAGGTTGGGCCATTAGAGCCTTTTGGGCCGTGGTGCAGCCTGGGTGAAAACGCTGAAGGCTTTTCTCTCATTATGAGTCGAGTCAGCAACCTCGGAGCACCGATAGCAATATTCAAAATTGGTTGTCTAGTATAACAATGGGTCCACAGCATCGGGCGCGGCAATCATTAAGGCATTTGACCTTGAACTGTGGCCTAAAATAAAGTTCAACTATATTGGCGGTTTGGCATTGTCATGTACACTAGAAGAATCCTTATGCAACACACATAACTTGCAATTGTGTCAGAGTATGGTGTGGATACCGCAATTGTGTCAGAGTATGGTGTCGATACTGTCGTGGAAGAAGGTCACTAAAAATGGAATGCTGAAGAATTTTCTCTGACGACGAATCGGGCTTTCCGCCGACCTTATAATACTAGCAGTAATTCTGAAAATTGGCTGTTTGCTATAACAGTGGGTCCACAGCGTCAGGTGTAGCTCTATGACAATCATCTCAAGTATTTGCACAAAGAAGACCTGATCTGTTCCTTGCGCTACGGCCTAAATAAAGTTAGACTGTATTGACGTCTTGGCATGTAATATGATGTGGTGGCGCAACTATGCAGCTGAGTCAAGTAAATCAGGGAGGAAAGTGGTCGGTAATGTCGAACCTTATAGCTTGAGACACAATCTAAAGATGAAAAAGAGCTCGTTGGTTGTACGACCTAGAGATGTGTCAGAAATACGATGGCACTA